ATGTCCCTCTCAGCAAACCCCCAGATTTCACATGAAAATATTTAAACTGCTTGTCAGCTACTAAGTGCATTTGTAACCATGCTGGACAGCGTACCTGTATTTTTCAAATTACAATTATTATAATTAGGTTTAGCATCGTTCTTCAGTGTTGGTTTGTATTTTAGGAGAGAAAACAATTACTGAGGGGCAAATAATGGGCTATATCTGTTACAGGCTAATTTTGCTCTGTGAACAGCTCACCTCCGCTATGGATAATACATATTAAATCCATTAGTGCTTTCAAATGGCATGAGAAAGGTACTACTACACATAATTTACCCAGTCAAGGGCATTTTCACCTGCTGATCCATTTACATATTCTGCAATGTCATTAGATATGAGCTAGTCATCAGAAGAATAGAAGACAGTATAAATTATAGACTTTTCTTATTTAACTCCAGTCATTTTTATTCTAATTACAATCTAAATTATATTTAGGATTTGTTTTGCTTCTAGACTAGAAAGCTTTTAATTAATACCACAGCTGTCTGTATAATATCAGAAATCCATCTAGTTACTTGACACTACACTACCATGAAATAGACACCTTCTAGAATTCTTTCTGCCCTGCTATGCAGTGCCAGTTTTTTAGATTTAAATGTTTACCTCACTGTAAAAAGAGCAATTTAGCAACACAGAAATGATTGCTTTTTTATATATAGGGCCAGATCTTGATTCCAGTGGGGCTATGCCACTTTGCATCAGCTGAAGATCTGGTCCTAAATCTCAATATGGGTAATTACGTTCAGCCTTCCTAAAATTCCTCATGGAATTTCAAAGGCATGAAGTAACCTTTTCCTGTTCTAAAGCTATATGTAGTGTTTTGTACTATGACCTATTTCATTCCAGAGGTGGCTGCATTTCACTGGTTGGCAGAGTGATTCTTGCAGTGAGAGCAGACTTAACTGGCTCTAATTCCTGCCGAGTCAGCAAGATTTTCTAGGACAGAGCTAATACGTCCTAAAGGAGATTCCTGCAGTATTCTGCAGAAATCCCATTGCAGTGAAACACCACTGTTAGCTTGCATTCACTGGGATAAATTTTGCCCCCTGCCTGGCCCCCGCAATGAAAAGCACAGGAGCTGAAAATGAATCTGAGGGCAGTATTTGGTTCCCTACACACATATATCACGAGACCGTGGCTAGCCCCAGGCAGGTGTGCATGGGATGACTACAGTCTCAATCACTGTGTTCCAGTCACGCAAGTACTGGAGCTGTCTAGTGGCATCAGATCCACCAAAGGTTACAAGAAGAGGCATTTAAGTCAAAAGTGTTAATTCAGATTTACACTTGTATAAATGAAAGCAGATGCTGGCCTCTAATCACAATACTCAGTATTGGTTCCAAAACCATATTGGACACAACTTTGAAAGTCAAAGTGATGTAAATTAATGCTCAGCAGGCCTGACTCTCCTCTCCTTGCCAATGATGTAAATCAGGAGTAACTCTATTAATTTAGATCCTAAACTCTTTGGATAGAGACTGCCTTTTTGTTATGTGTCTGTAAAGTGCCTAGCATAATGGTCCCTAGTCTCTCCATGTTACTGCAATGCAAACACCACATAACAACAGCATTAGAGCACACTGGTGTAAGAAACAGAAGCATCGGACTCCGAACCTTGGTTTAAAGCATCTGAGTTTTTTTTTCTAGTTTGTATCACAATTTTCTAATGAATTCTTTTTTTATATGACTAGCAATTTACAGGTTAATTTAAATCCATATTATTAGTTGCATATGAATAAAGAAAAATATTTTCTTGGGTTTTGTTTTTTCATTTTATTTGCTCTTCCATAGATATCACATTGTCTTTAAATAGTAAGAGATATTTTGGAACAGAAGGAGGCCTATCTAACTCCATCTATCCATCTCCATCTATCTGTCTAGTGCTGGTAACCTGTAATCAATGCAAATGTGCTGTATTACTTTTACAGTTTGGCTTTAGTTTGAAGGCAACGATTTTTTTTAAACAAAACTTCTCAGCCATGCGGGTTAGAAAAGCAAAATCAACAGGAGACTGGTCTATCATTAACCTTTAGTTATGGTATCATGAGCAGTTCTCCAGGCACTTACACAAGATGACATAAGTGGCTAAGTGTTTCAGGAAATCTGAAACACTGAAATTTTGTCTCAGAAGACTCAGGGGTCTGAATGGACACAGGACTTTTTCCCCTCTCTTGGCTGGTAAGTTCTGACCGTAAACTCAGTTAAACTCCATTTTTATTTGTTAGCATCTGTTAGGAATCCCAAACCTCTAGGTCTACAAACAACACTAATCAAGATCATCCAAAAAAAAAAAAAATTCTAAAATCAGAGGGCTCTCAGCTTACTTGTTTACTTTCCTTACTTTCTTAAATACCTGGAGTGAAATACACTCAAGGGAGACTGATATAACAGGCTGGAGCCAGGTATATTACCAACTGGCTCTGAGAAAGTTCCCCACACAACTTTGCAAATATATCTCAGCAATATGCTAGTCCTCGTTCTGTCTTTAGCAGGGATTGCCAATAGTTACAAAGTGTTTGATAAGCAGCCTTCGTAGTAAAATGTTTGGTTATGATGGAGTTACTCTGGATTCACACCAATGTATCTGAGCAGAATATGGCCAGGTTTAGTCAGCCCTATTAGCCTAAGGCCAGATTCTGGCACTTTGTTCACACTGAGTTTAGTTCCATTGATTTTAATAGGTCTACTCATGGAATAAGGTGCTACTCAACATCAGCAAAAGTGGCTCCTAGGGAGTATGTATCTGGTCCAAGGCCAATTAAAGTAAATGGAGATACTCACACTGACTTCAACAAGCTTTAGTGCGAGGCCTGAGAAATGTAAACTCAGTCCATGCCAATGCAGATCACTACCAGTAGGTCACAAGGGTAGCAGTAATACAGTATTAGTGTCTAACTATGCAGCCACTGAAGATAGTAAGAGATTTGCCATCAACTTCAATGGGAACAGGATCAGATCCCCGTAAGATATTCTTGCGTTTTGTAAGTATATGTGCTGTTTATGCATTAAAACAGTCACCCGAATGACTGACCCTTGGAAATAGTAATTTACTTTATACTTCTTTCTGACATTGTTTTTCTGAAAATAACTGCTTTCCCATCCAGCAGTTAATTTCTTCCAATATTAACAAACATAATTCAAATATATAAACAACACAGATGGAGAAACAGATTTAAAAACACAAAACGTACTTTTAATAATTTTTTCAACCTTATTTTTTCCTCCCTCTCTATTCTTTACATAATAACCCTTGCGAAGCTTGAAACCAAAGTTTTTTCCTTCCTTGGATGTATTACTCCATGGGATACACAATTTCACATTTATTATCATCAGATACCACACTAGTGCTAGCTTTCCACATTGGTTTAGAATCATCGAATCATAGGATTAGAAGGGACCGCAAATTATAGAGGAACACTGGAAACTTATTGGTTTCAATGGGACGGTGAAGAGCATGGGAAATCGAGCTGGGCAGAAAATGTTTCTCCTATCTGCAAATATTTTCAAGACTTCAGAATTTTTTCTCCATCTTGAACCAGGATGAGAAGTCAAGTCAAAATGATTTGTGAACCAAAAAACCTGAATAAACTTTTTTTTCCTTTTTTTGTTATTTTGAGTGAGGAAATTCATTTAACTGACTCTGGTTTGTGAACAGGTTTTGGCAAATGTGTACTTTTTGATGAAAAAATGATTAGTTGAAAAATTCCCAACCAGCTCTAGTCAAAAACGCCAGTATTATTTTACTGACGTTATATGGCCATCTGTGTGTTTGATTGTTATTGTGGTGTTTGCTTTATGGTTATTAGGGGTTGATTCAGGTATGGGTTAGTTTATAGGTAGGCAGGAAAGCAGGCAAACATTTCTGATAGCCCTCCATTCACAGAGATTTAAAAGGACAGTGTAGGTGTCGATCCCTTTGCAATTTTATCCTGAGAGCAGCATTGTAGACAGTGATGCCAGGAAGGAGGGTCCTGACGCATGAAATAGAAACAAAGGACTTTGGAGTGGATAAAAATCCATGCCCTGTTGCACAAAGAGGGAGAGATACAGAGACCACTGTGGTGCAGGCTGACCTTCCCTCCACCCCCCAAAATTCCCCAAGATTAGGGTTTCTGGGATAAGCTAGGCATACGTAAATTTTATTCATGAATGTAGGCTGTTCTTTATGTTAAAAACCCTATTTCCTCTTATGGTTTGTTCCTGCTCTTCAGATTAAACAATACTTTGTTTGCAAGAGGCTATTTTGAGACCTGTGTTTACCACTGCTCACAGCTCCTGAAGGGCAGATTTGCAGGGCTTGAATCCAGTTGGGACCACTAGGCAATTGTATTTGGTACTCAGGGTGGTTGCAGCCTAGCACCTGGACTGTGAGTGGGAAAATCATGGGATTCTTCCCCAGGATGGGAACACAAGAGGCTGGTCACCTGAAGGGGCTGCACTCATTGAGACTGAGAGCGGTCAATAGTGCAGCTAGCCCTGAACTGTGACTGGGATTACCTGGGATTGGTCTACACTTAAAACTGTGGAAAAAAACACACCGCCTAAAGACATGCCGAGAAAATCCCCAGTGTAAATGCAGCTATGCCGACAGAAGAGTGCTTCAATCAGCATAGCTAACATTGTTTGGGGAGGGGGCGTTCCCACATTGTCTGAAAAATTCCTTCAATCGGTGTACGCAGCATCTATACTAAGGGGCAATGCCACCATAGTTAGGCCGACATAGGCACTGTAGTGTAGACATAGCTTTGGAAAAGGAGAAATGAGAGTATATAGAACTAACCCCAACATAGATAATATTTTGGGCCTAGAAAACCTTGACAGTGTCTCTTTAATTTTGTACTCACTAGTTTAGTGTTATTTAAATATAATATTGTGAACTCTGTATAGCTTACTGAACAAAGATGAGACACCAGAACCATAATTAGAAGATGATATAGGAGCAAAAGCATTAAACTCACCCGTAATATTTCTTCCACACAGCTGTCATTGGGAAGGCTAACCTAGGTTTAAAAAAAAAAAAAAAGTCAGTCCGTCACAGAATGCAAAGTTTATTGGTTAAAAGCAACTAGGGAAGTAAATAGATCTATTGAACCACAGCTAACAAAGAAATACCCCATTCTTTGAAATACACTTCATCCAGTGATCATTACCAACAGAATTTGCCAATTTAAATAACACAAATCAGTAGAAAGATTCATCTCTACAGTTTCTTAAAGATATTTTTGTAAGTGTTTTGCTACAAACAGTAGTTTAGAAAGAATATAGTACCCTGATTTCCCCACAGTTAAAAACGGGCACTAAAATTGCTGGAAACGTTTACAAATGATGAAGATATCAACCGTTACTCCAATATACAGAGTTCAACCGTTACTCCAATATACAGAGTTCAGTGAGAACGCAGGGTACGTTTTAACTTACAACATGCTACAATTTAGGGCAAAGATGATAATAGTTAAGAGTAAACTTATTATCAAGCATCTTTTTATACATCTTAATACACTAACAGCTAAGAGAACTCTTAAACCCTGAACACGTACTATAGTAAAACACTGGTTAGACTCTAACGGTAGGTTTCAGAGTTACTGATTCCTCAGTCTCTCACTTCCTGGGCCTGTTACAGGTTAAATATCCTCTAAAGACTGAAACGCACACAGGAATCCATCTTGAGAGTTTTGAGAGATCCTCTATGTCTCTTAAAAATATGCATTACATCTACACACATGCACACACAGACAAGTAGGTGCTGGTAAAATCTCACAATGTAGCAATCTAGGTTTTTAAACATTACTGATGCTATCTGCCGTAATTCCCCATTCTAAATGTAGAAAACCGCACAAATACCTTAAATAATGCAAATAAATATATGAGCAATAACTTTCAGGATTTTAAGAGCACTTTGGGGTGGGGGTGTATATACATTTGGCAACAGTTAAGTTATATGTATGTACAATAGGTTTTTATTATGCCTATCTTGCATGGGTACACTAGATTTGGGAGAATGTGCACAATGAACCCACTCCCCATGCACACTGCAGCCACAATTTGGGGGGATACTTTCAATGGTGCCCTTGGAGCCTTTAGTTACTAGAGCCTGGTTAGGGGAAGCCAATCCTTGTTCAAGCCTCTTGCCCTCCATCCCCACCCACATCAGCCCATGCTGCAGAGCTTTGGTTGGGACAGCCACTAACTGTGTGTCCCTCCTCATTCTCAAATCTTGACACAGGCATAATGTTTAAATTAATAGCATGATAGAAACTAGAAACAAAAATTACCTATTAGGTCGTCTAGTATGTCTTCTGCAGGATTCTTTCCCTATACACACTTCTAGTGCTGTGGCCAGTCTAGTTCTAAAAGTCTCAGGCAAGGAGGCTTCCACACCTCCTTTGAAAGACTATTCCACACTTTACTGATCTCATGGTCAGGACATTTCCCCTGACAAACAGGCTATATTTTCCCATTTTCATTTCATCCTATCATTTCTATGGATAACCTCTTCCATCACTCTAAATAATTCATATCCCTCCATGGTATTTACATCATTCATATACATCTGTGCACTTTTATGATCCATCTTACTCCTCATGTATATTGTATATTTGACTCTTATAATCTTACCTAATAAGTCATCCCCTCCACCCTCTCTCATCATTTTGTTGCTCTTTTCTGAACTCCCTCTGATTTGTCAATATCTAGGTAATGAAGTGCCCAGAAGTGAACATGATAAATGTGGCTCCTACTATTGACTTTACCCACCTCAACAGCCACTACTGTCGTATCTACATGTCAGACCATTTGGGTTAAGAAAAATATTCCCTTCTCCTTACATTCTACCTAACTAAAGTCTAGCTCACAATCCTTGGGTGGAACCTTTACTCCACTGAAGCCAATGGAAATGTCGCCATTGACTTCAGTGAGCCTGGATTTCCACACAAAGTTCTCTGAAAGCTTCACCTGCATATCCTATAACTTCTGTTTCACACACCTCTGCCCTAATCCCTCTCCTTTCACTTCTTTTATGCTTTTTCCTCTTGACAGCTTCTAACTTCTTTGCTCACCTTCACTTTTTGCCTTCTTTCCTATACCATGACCAGCTTTCCAGCTAACAAACCCCGGGACCTCTCCCTATTCAAATTCACCTCCCCAGTTATCCATTCCAATTTCAGTGACCACCCACCACTAAGTTTTGTATTCCAGTGTGCAGCAATTTCCCGTTTGTGTCCTTAGGACTGTTAGTCTTTTGGGGCAAAGTACTTCTTCCTTATTTTACATAGTTCTCCTAATGCACAACACTATGTAAGCTTACATTGCTTAAGAAATAATAATACAAATACACAATTTTAGTTGAGTAAAATCTATTATATATATTCTGTAATCACAACCTGCTTCAACTGGCAACACTCACTAATAGCTCTAAATGATCATGCATCAGTTTTGTTAATGGCAGAGGAGATTTCTTTTAATGACTTGACAGAACTTTTGTTCCCTTTGGCATTGCTTTGTTTAGAATCATGGGTATTAAGGTAACACATGATGTCAAAGTGCTGTGATTGGCATACAGGGAGAGCCAAGCAGGAGCAGGCACAAAGTGGAAAACATTTAGATGAATGCAAAACATTAAAAGAATATGTTTCAGAGTAGCAGCCGTGTTAGTCTGTATCTACAAAAAAAAAAAGGAGTACCTGTGGCACCTTACATATTAACAAATTTATTTGAGCACAAGTTTTCGTGAGCTACAGCCTACTTCATCAGATGCATGCAGTGGAAAATACAGTAGGGGGATTTTATGTACACAGAGAACATGAAACAATGGGTTGTTATCATACACACTGTAACGAGAGTGATCAGGTAAGGTGAGATATTACCAGCAGGAGAGAAAAAAAACAACCTTTTGTAGTGATAATCAAGGTGCGCCATTTCCAGCAGTTGACAAGAACGTGTGAAGAACAGTGGGGGGGAACAAACATGGGGAAATAGTTTTACTTTGTGTAATGACACATCCACTCCCAGCCTTTATTCAAGCCTAATTTAATGGTGTCCAGTTTGCAAATTAATTCCAAATCAGCAGTCTCTTGTTGGAGTCTGTTTTTGACATTTTTTGTTGTAATATTGCCACTTTTAGGCATTGGCCAAACTGGACAGTCTCTACGTAAAAGAATAAATGGACACAAATCAGATGTCAAGAATTATAACATTCAAAAACCCGTCGGAGAACACTTCAATCTCTCTGGTCACTCGATTACAGACCTAAAAGTGGCAATATTACAACAACAAACCTTCAAAAACAGACTCCAACGAGAAACTGCTGAATTGGAATGAATTTGCAAACTGGACACCATTACATTCGGCTTGAATAAAGACAGGGAGTGGATGTGTCATTACACAAAGTAAAACTATTTCACCATGTTTATTTTTCCCCCTTACTGTTCCTCACATGTTCTTGTCAACTGCTGGAAATGGCCCACCTTGATTATCACTACAAAAGGTTGATTTTTTTGTTTTTTTCCCCTCTCCTGCTAGTAATAGCTCACCTTACCTGATCACTCTCCTTACAGTGTGTATGATAACAACCCATTGTTTCATGTTCTCTCTGTATATAAAACCCCCCTACTGTATTTTCCACTGCATGCATCCGATGAAGTGAGCTGTAGCTCACGAAAGCTTATGCTCAAATAAATTGGTTAGTCTCTAAGGTGTACTCTAAGTACTCTAAGTACTCACAAGTACTCCTTTTATTAAAAGAATAATTACTCTACAACAAGGCTATCATAGAGAAGATCAATGTAAGACTTTCCGTACATTATTATTAATGGATTTTTAAAAGAAGGAGACCATTTTTTCTAAATTCATATGGTAGCTCCACATTCTAAGGCTATGTCTACACTATCACTTATGTCGGTATAAATTATGTAGCTCAGGGGTGTCAATAAGCCCCCCCGCGACATAAGTTACACCAACCAAAGCAACAATGTGGACAGCATTATGTTGGTGGGAGAACTTCTCCTGCCGCTCGTTAGGGGTGGATTAATTAAGTTGATGGGAGAGTTCTCTCCCATCAGCTTAGAGTGGTTACACTAGGGAGTTTACAGCGGTGCAGCTACATCGGTTTCGCTGTAAACTCTCTTGGGTAGCCATAGTTTAAGTGACTTGAAAAGTACAGATCTGTCAGATACTTAGTCTATCCTGAAAAAACCTTTCCAAGCGTGAATCAGAAATTGAAGATTAATTGCCCATTCAGCTAACAAGTGCAAGTGGCATTGCACAGCACACTACAGGATCCATGCAGATATTCATCAGGCCAAAGACAAATATGGCTAATACAGTATTTGCAACCTACACAAATATTAGTGCTGTAAGGAATTATTATTAGAATTTACATGAAAATGTCATTGACATCCCATATGAAATACCACTATTCTCCAAATCTACAGAAAATCAAGTGGTTTGAATGCTACAAGGTGATTTTTTTAAAGCTTTCATCAGTAGTCACATTTTAAAAAGAAACACTTTGAGGTTAGATTTGTACATACTTTTTGGACCTGTCTATCTCTGTGAACAACATGATCTAACTTAACAGGAAGGATCGATTCTAGGATTTATGTTTTGTTAAAACCAAGTGCTTGCTGCTCACATCATGAGCTCTTTTCTCATTCTGCAGTGTATTCATGAACTTTTGATTGAAGAACAGTTAATATTACATAAGCTGCAGACATAAGTCCTGAGGTAATGTAACTTCAATCAAACTGAAAAGATTCCACAAGTTACACGGTACACTGAATTCCTCTTCCAATTTAATTTTAATCCGGTGAAACTCCTTTGCATCAAAAGATTTTGTGTTTATTCTAAAATATTGCTTCCGGGGGGGGGGGGGGGGAAGAGGTCATATGGTCAAAATATTCGACCTAAAAAAGCAGTCTCACAAGTGAAAGAGTATACCTTAAATGATGTAGAACCTAAGGATTTAACGTATGACTTGGTTGGCCCCATGTTAAACTCTGGGAAG